TTTCGAACAAAAATGAAAATATAAATAACGATCCTTTTTTTTATACATTTTAACTTCACGCTATTATTAAATGGTATTTTTTTATTTTGACAGAATAGGCTAATTCTTCAATGACAACTTATTAGACTTAGGCAACTTTTTATACATTTTCCAGTAAATACTGTTGCCTGTCTATATTTTATTATTGATTTTTATTGATTATACATAATTTTCTTTAATTTAAGCGATAAAAATATATAAGAATAATAAATTATTGTTTTACTTGTTTTACAAATCCATATAATTTTATTAAAACTAACATTTAAAGATTTAAATGGCTTAGTGACAATGAATTGTAAAGTTGTAACTTAAGCAAGTGTATCCAATGTCAAAATATCGGTATTTAGTAACACTGAATTTAAAAGTATTACAATAACATTTAAACATAAAAAAGTTTGAAAATAATAATAATTCTTTTTAGCTTTATGTTAGTCGAAATGTCATTCATCGACCTCCCAGACAGCACACAACATCTTAAAGACGTCTGTTTTATGTCGTAGTTATGACTGAACGCCTAAAGACTTAAAAAAGACGTTTTAAAGACGTCTTTTAGTACACATAAATAGACGTCTTAAAGACGTCTTTTAAATGCCTATCTATTTAAAAAATCTGATGTGTCCAACACATGACTTTCCTATCTAGTTATTATAGACATTTTCCGGTTATTTTGTACAACCTATTGCAGCATCTCTATAAATGTTTAGAGGATAAACTAAATATATACATTTTACACATACATCTACCTCGAAACATTTTTCTATAGATATTCATTGAAAACGAAAATACAGAAAAATTTAAATTTAGCACTTTTCCATTACGGTCCATTTTAGAAAAATCATGTATAAACAAAAATTATAGAAATCGATATCGCAAACAACTTTTAGTTCAACAATTTTCATAAAAATCAGAATTTTGCACATTTTGTTAAATTTCTCGAATACGGACCATTTCAGGAAATTTTGACATAAAGCAAAAATTATAGATAATAATATTAGAAGTAACTTTTATTTGAACAATTTTCTTCTCCAAACATAAATAACAGATATATTCCATAAAATATAAACACGGCCTCCCATAAAGTACCCCCCCAGATGTTCCGACTTTGTCCAAAAACTAATAATTTCACGTCAGGCCGAAATAAACCTTAAGTTTAAAATTTAATGTTTTTTCCTTTATCCGTTTTTGAGTTTTCTTCAAATTTCGAAATTTACACATTTTTTCAATTATCTCGAATACGGTTCATTTTAGAGAAATTATGTATAAGACAAAAATTATAGAGAATTATATTACAAACAACTTTTATTTGAACAATTTTTATAAAAAATTATGTTTTTACATTTTGTCAAATTTCTCGAATACGGACCATTTTAGGAAAATTTTGCATAAAACAAAAATTATAGATAATTATATTAGAAGTAACTTTTATTTGAAGAATTTTCTTCTCCAAACGTAAATAACAGATATATTCCATAAAATATAAAAATGACCACCTATAAAGTACCCCCCAGATGTTCCGACACTGCCCAAAATCTAATAAGCTCATTGTACGCTGAAACAAAGCTTAAGTTTAAAATTTGGTGTTTTTCTGTGTATCGGTTCATGAGTTATGCGTTATACAGACACACACACACACACACACACACACATACGGGTCTGGCCGCTACTAGGACATCACCATCCTGAGTATCGATTGTGGCCACATCGATATTTCTATATGAGGGAGATGTAAAATAACGCCAGAAACATAGAAATTTAAGTGTATCTTGAATACACTCCATACAAAATGTTTAAATCAGATTTTAATATCATGACCTCCTCGGTTTATTATGACCTCTGTTGGTACAATAATAGAAAATTGTGTTGAAGTGTTATACTGATGTCATAAAATTGAATGTGTGACCTTTGTTGTTACTATAATAGTAAATTGTGTTGAAGTGTTACACTGATGTCATAAAATGAAATGTGTAAACTCTGTTGTTACAATAATATTAATTTGGGTTGAAGCGTTACACTGATGTCATAAATTTGAATGTGTGTAATATTAGGCCTTCTGTTGTGATAATAATAGTAAATAGTGCTAAAGTGTACACTGAAGTCATAAACCTGAAAGTGTGTAATAGAGGTCAGGTTATTTGAAAGGAAGTTTATGTTTGATATAAATATAACTAACAAAATACATAAATATATATATGAAGTCATTACAAAATAAAACTATATTTATCATTGCCCAAAAAGATTATAAAATATTACATTATACAAAACCAATACAAACACCTCTCTAGCAGATATTATTGTCTTCAATTCATATGTTGTTGCGAACGCTCCTTCTTCGAATTGTTAGTCTATTTTTTAAATAGATGTTTAAAAAGATAACCTCAGCCTCAACGACCTGGATGTTCTAACATACCGACATTCAAGAATTTTATAATATGTGGTTATTAAATTATTTTTTTTATTACCACAATAATAATTATTAAGACAACTTAATAATATATGAATAAAGAATGTAAGGCAATATTAAATGAAATATAGAGATGAGTTAAAATACATTTATTAAAAAAAAAAACAGAACAAGAACAGGAACAAGAACAAATTAAACAAACAAAGAGAACAAAGTTATTTGGATGAGAGTAAGGCTCGTTTATTTCGTGTTATTTGATTTTTTATACAGAATTTTATATCTGTCCATTTTCTAGTTTTTAAAATTTCGTTTTTGTCAATACATTCATTGCAGTCTTTTTTCCCAGGTAACTTTCCTATCTTAATAAAACTTTTAAAATACTTTACAACAGCGCTCAGTTCTTCTTTACTCCATCTATGATCTTTTTTTGTCCCTAAAAAATAAATAAAAGTTTTCTCATGTTTCTTAAATTAATAACTAAAAAAATAACACAAACCCAAAAAATTTTTTATGCAAAGAACAACACCTCCATATCAAGAGAAAAATTAATATAGATTTAATTTTTATATAGGTATGTACAATATTTTTGTTTTTTGAGTAATTTCGGATTTTATAATCAATACAATATAATTATCAATACCTTATAAACTAAATTGTACTCTTTAATGAATAAATAAAATAACAGTTAAAATTACTTAAATGGTAAAAATTATATTTATATTACGTATATTTTTAAATTTTCAATAAATATTAATTTTGATGGATTGCATACTTTTGAATACTTTGATTTTACTACAATTTTAAATGAAAAATTTACCTCTGTTGACTATTTTGGATTTTTTCTTTTCTTCAGGCTCAAACACATCTTTAACGTGAGTATGTTCATCATGTGCATGTGCAGGTATATCCTCGCAATCGTTTTCTTCCTCTTCGTCTTCTTCTAATGGTGGCAATTCTAAAAATACATACTAATTTCATATGGATTTTTTGACGTGGAAATGTCCCAAACAAAATCTTTTTTCGACATCGAATCGAATATATATATATATATATTTTTTTTTTTCATTTCTACGCCTCTATATTTATTATTTTGTTAGTTATTAATATTTAAGATTTAAAAACGTGTCACCCTCAATATTTCAGGTCTTTTACAAAACATAATTATCAACCTCATTTTATTTATTGATAAAGTGCATCTACCCTCTAGTAGAGGTCTCAGCTAGCTCTAAAATCTTAGGAGAAAAGGAAGTTTGTGTGATACCTCATTTTTAAGGTTGACTTTAGAATGGTTATGTAATATAATTATAAACCAAATTAAAAAAATATTTTAATATTTTTTTGAGTTAGTTTGAATGATTGTTCTTTTTTTTAATTATTTAATGAGATTGTTCACCAGAATTATTTCTCCACTGCGATAAAAGAAAGACAAAGCAAAAAATGCAGGCGCTGAGTGCGGCCAATTTTTTTATTTCTATCTTGGTAGGTAATGATTTTTTAGTTTTGTTTTTATGTAGAGTAATTCGTTGGTCATTTATCCTATAATTAATTTATTTATTGACAAACCTTTTTTAATTAAAATAATTCCTGTTAGTTAATTATTTGTAACTTCTAAAACCCTTGCAAAAATTTTTATATTTATTAAACAACTGCCCAGCATCATGTTTTATAAAAATACTTTTTTTATATGTAGGTTGTTAGGTAGGGTGGTAGGGAGGTAGGAAGGTAGGGAGGGAGGTAGGGAGGTCGGGAGGTAAGGAGGTAGGGGGGTATGGAGGGAGGTAGGGATCTATGGAGGTAGGGAGGTAGGGTTGTATGGAGGCAGGGAGGTGGGGAGGTAGGGATGTGGGGAGGTAGGGAGGTAGGGTGGTAGGGAGGTAGGGAGGTAGGGAGGTAGGGAGGTAGGGAGGTAGGGAGGTAGGGAGGTAGGGAGGTAGGGAGGTAGGGAGGTAGGGAGGTAGGGAGGTAGGTAGGTATGTAGGTAGTTAGGTAGACATGTTGGTAGGTAGGTAGGTTGGTAGGTAGGCATGTTAGTAGGTAGGGAGTACTATTAATTATTGTGACCAAAAATTTTTTAAAAGCTCATTTTATTTAACCCGCAAATGCCATCATAATAATATTAATAGTATTGAGCAAAATGATTGATAATTTTTTTATCGCTATAGTAAATATTATGTAATATAAATTATTTTACAGTATCTAGGTTTAAAAGTAAAAAAGAATTAGCGTAAATGTTGAAAATCAAAAACGGATTTCTTAATATTTTTTGAAACGGGTTAAACTTTTTCTAATAAATCTTACTAATCAATGTCCAATATTTAGAGACAAGAAGAAATTTTAATCCCCGCATATTATTAGGAGACATTGAGTTAATCGTAAATCGTATTTTTATCTTTTCTGATTTTTTATGGTTATTTTTTGTAAACTTAATAACTTGGGATATTGTCACTTATTTTTTATCAAATATTATATGAATTATTATTATAGTAAATGGGAATGTAATTAGTTTTATTCCTAAAAACTGTGGTATAAGTTTACCTATATTTTCGGAATACCCTATATAGGTATTACATAATAGTTACTCACCTTCAATATTAATATCTGTTAATTTTTTTCCAGAGTATTTTTCAGCTTCACCTTTATCGACAGCAAGTAAAAGTCTGCTTACTTTTGTAAGCTCCACTGCACTTTCATGCAGTCGATAGAAATCACGGTGAACTCTGATATCATGACCTAGGTGTCTTGCAAGCCAATCAGTTTCATTTTCTGTCAAATTAAATATTTGACACACTGTGGCTATGTATTTCCTTAATTTCGTGCTAGTTATATTTTCAGCATATTGTAAACAAGCATTTAAACATTCTTTTCGTAAGCAGTCATGACCTCTTAGATGTCCTTCGGAGTTTTGACTTCTTGCAAATATATATTCATTTTTCGAACTAACATCTGCTTGTGATCGATATTTAATTAATAAATCAATCGACGACTTCATGTCTTCGGTAAGAATAACTGGCACAATTCTTCCTTTTTTTCCTATTATTTGTACCATCGTTAATCTATTAGCAAGTTCTAATTCAAGAGGTGTCAATGAATTTTTAAATTCATCAGTTCCCTGTTCGGACCATGAAGGACGATTAGAGTAATTACTTAACGTCATTCTAGCTGCTTCCCCTGAACGACGTTTATTAAAGAGAATGATGCGACACAAAGTAACTGATGCCAGATTTGACCAAACTTGTCGTGTGCAGGTTTTTTTCTATAGGAACCTTTAAATATTTTAGTTGTTCTTTTAAATATAAATTTAATTTCATCAAATCACTCGTTATAGGCAAAAGCTGAGTGGTGTTCATCTTTCTTTTTTGCAATGTTGTTAAGGCTTTGGACGAAACTCTGACTGACCATTCTAAATGCTTTAAGCTCATTGTGTCTTTGAATTAAACCCTTACGAAGTGCAGATCCACTTTCTAATGCCACGCATTTTCGCAACAAGTGTCCAATTTTTAATGCAAGTGATGGAATTTTAAAGTTATTTTCTAAGTGACCGATTTCATGTCCACATATATTCTTGGTTGCCATAATAATGTCATCAAAATATTGTGGTGCAATCCACTCACTAAGTACTTTTTTTTCCGTATATTGTTTTAATTCTAATTTTAGCCTCCCCAATTGCCGCATTGACTGTCGAATCAATTCTGCTTGCGAGTTTCCATATTTTTCAAAAAGGAAAGATCCCAGTTTTACTATAAGAATGTCTTCTTTACAAGCTTCAGATATTAAATCAACTCGAAATGAAGATATAATATTATGTCTAAAGTTTTCATCTGTTTTTGGTCCTAAAATTTCAAAGAGCATTGCAGCACTTTCATTAAGATGTCCCCTTCTGCCTTCATTGTCTTCATTATTTGCTTTTTTCATTTTACACTCTCTCAAATGATGCCATAAATATTTTTTCGACATAAATCCTAAACAATAGGGACACGGACCAAAGTCTCTATAAAGCATTTGTTTATTAACTTCAGGTCGTCTTACTAAGATAAGTTCACCATCCTTGATGGCCAATACATTGCAGTTATAGTAAAAATCACCAGCTCTGATTAATGTCTCCAACTCATCACGTCTAGATTTAGATCCTTTTGGTAGTGCCAATATTTTTGCAACTTGAATGTCATTTCCATGCTTCAACTCAAAATGGCGTGCCATGTTATTTGATAACAGTTTGTTACATATATAACAACAATGCCTTTTATCTCGGCATCTTTTTCCATCCATATTGCGTTTTATTACTGACACCGTCACCTCTTCTATATCCGATTTTATTAGTTCTATATTTTCATTCTCTGTTGTATCTCCAACATTTTTATATACAGGTAACAATCTTTTTTCTTGAAAATTCGTAGCAATATCAGATAGTTGTGTATCTTGTAAGTTGGTTCCATTTCCAGATATTTTTTCAGGTAGCAAGCTTTCTTCTTCCAAATTTGTTGTAATATCAAATGCCTCCTTAACTTGTAATTTTTTTTTTTATATTTTTGTTAACTAGGTCAAAACATTTACTGTCTTGAATTTTATTTTTGTTTCCTCCACTATTCTGACAATCGTCGTCATTTTCACTAGAATTTTCGGAAGGAATATATTCATCCCCGCTGTCAGTATTACTATCAGAATTTATGTTAGATGTAATATTATCATCGGCAACAAATGATTTATGAAAGTGAATGTCTTGATATTCCAAATCAAGCTTTCTTTTGGCTCCATTGACTGATTTTCTTTCCGGAAGCTTTCGTTTTTTCCACGAAGATGTGATTGAATGTTCTTGTAATAGTTTGGATGGGCTTGAATTTTCCAAATTTTCACTATGTATAGCTGAAAAATAATAATAAATATTTAAATATTTAATAATTAGCAATAACCAATAAGTTTAATTTTATTATCCAGCATAATAATGCTTACCTAGTCCATGATTACTAGCGTTTTTATTAGAAACTATTAGGTACTGATTGCATATAGTATAACTTTTTTAGACAAATATAGGACTGCCAGTTTATAAAAAATGCTGGGTAGGAACATAAATCATTTTACTTTTATTATTTTACAGTTATTTTATGGTCTAGGCAGTAAAAGAGCTATTTTAGTAGCTGTAAACATTCACTAAAATAACGTTAAATTTTTATTTTGCGTTGCTACTTTTTGTGGATCATCTATAAAATATTTTACCGATACATATATTTTTATATAAAATATTTAATTTTAGGAATAGAAAAAAAATTTTAGGAATAGAAAAAAAATTACGCGCTTAACATCGCAGTAAAACAGTTGGAACTTTGCTGGTTATAAATTTAAAATCCTCGAAAAAATTCATTAAAGGTCTAATTAAATAAATAACTAATACACTTACCTCCAACATAAATTTGCCTCTCGTAATGACCTGTTCCTTTTGTCGTTTCATATCTAGGAATTGATAATGATTGTAACGTTTCATAATCCCTATTCGAATTATGAACAAGATCTAATATTTTAGCAGATCTGTTAGAACGCTTCATTCTAGAAATCATTTAAAAACTTGTCAGAGATTTTAGAACATTTTATTTTTATTAGGAAGACCCCTATCTTATTAATATCTACTTTTAAAATTTGCTCTTCCCGAATCCAACTACTATTCTACATATTGGTAAAATGGTCTCAAATGATTATTTGTATCATAAAAGAATACCAGAATATTATTATACTCAGAGAGCACTAAATTTTCTACAAAAGAAGTAAAGATTACCGCATATCTCTCTCTCTCTCTCTCTCTCTCTTTCTCTCTCTCTCTCTCTCTCTCTCCATTTATCTTCCCTTTAAAATGTAAAAATCTAAAACCCTCTAACACGTCTTTACTAATGATGAGAAACTACAATGTCAATTATTAAGTTATCACTTTTAAAGATATCGATTCTTCCTTACAAATTTTCACCCTCGTTTGGCTCCCTCAAAATGTGAAAATCCAATAACTCTGACACACGTCACTATTTATGCCTAGTAGCTCTAATTCAAATTTTCATGTTCGTAACTTTAAAGAACAAATAATTTCCCTCCTCCCTGTTCATCCCTTAAAGCTGACATATTCAAAAATCCTAAAAATAAACCTATCTTCTAAATTTCATCTTTCTAGACCTAATAGGTAGTTTTGGCTATTACACAAAATTCATAAAACACCCAGTATCTAGGTAATGAGATAATACATACCAAATCAAACTAATAATGGGTGATTAATCCAAGTATAGAAACCAACAATATAGTTTATCATAAAGTACAAAGCAGTCTTTTGATTCAAGTATTTATGTATTTACTGTAAAAATTAGAAAAACTGCAACTTACCTGCAACAAAATCATACACCTAATTATATTTTCGTAATCCAAATCACAGGAGCGATGCAAACTCTTGAGGTCGCAAAACTAAACTAACAATATAACCGTTAAACACTGTACCGAGCGACAATGTTGCCGACATGCCAACAAGATTTGTTTTAGTTATTAAAATAGTCAAATTACAAATTTTCAGAAGCCATAAACGCACTTAAGTTTCATCTATAAACAAACTATTACAAAAAAGTTATATCAACCCACTATTTATCACCTGTAACATTTATATTTAAAAACAGTATATTTTCTATATAACTCAATAAATTTAGATTCTTATTTAAAATTACAATTTACAAAAAATAATCTGAAAATCATAGAAGTCCACTACGTTCATTGACACATGGCAACAACCTCTCGTCGCCTGCCGACCACATGAAATATCTCCTCTGCGCGTCCGATATTATTATTTAGAAATATACTTAAAAGTGTATCCGCTGAGGGCGCCTCTTGACGGGTATAGCATAGATGTTACAGCTTATTTGATTTATACAACGTGTAATGCATGAGTGTTGTCATGAATTATAACATCATTTTCTTCAAATTTTAAAATTAGGTTTAAACGTAATAAAATGACGTGTAGAATACGAAAAAAGTATAAAAATATTACGACATCGAGTGTAAGAGGTCACAATATTCGGAGAGGTTAGAGTACACCCTATTTCACACACAAGAAGTCATAATCAATACAATACAAACACACACACACACACACACACACACACACACACACACACCTATACACGTTTCACCATACATGTGGGTCCATGGGAATAATACCGTACTGTGGGGACATTGAAACTGCGCACATAGCAATATAGATCTCCTCGCGCTGATTCTAACGCTATCTTTAAAATATCTATACACTCCAAATAAACACCTTACACACTATGAAAAAGTTGTGGGGTCAGACCCTACAAGTATTTAGACGTCAAATATGTGTAATGGTGTCCTTTTAATTATTGTAACGTTGGAATGTGGGTATACGTGAACCCACAAGTAATGTAGCTATTGTTTTGTGTATGAGTGTTCCCATAAATATATGAGTCTACTTATGTTTATTTTCCTGTACTCAGAACTTATGCATAATATAAAAAGATGCACATGAACTCATAAGAAATGGAAAATCAAATTTTAGTGTAATTTAAACAAGAAGATAATATAAAAAAAAGGATTGGTTAAAGTTATATAGTGGTATGTAATAATTTCTAACAAATCTTTAAACATTTCAATTGAGATGTGTTTAAAAGTTTTGAATTGACACTCGCTCTGGCATAAAAATATGAGTTACATGGTCGCCCTGTGGAGCGGGAGGACAGAATAGCTCTATCCAGACATTCACCTTTGGGGTTGTAAAAGCCCATCAAATGACCACTTTTAGAAAAGGGGCATCTAGTGATGCTGGTGACGTTATTAGCCTGTAGGACTCGGCGATTTGTCAACCAGCAGGCTTTTAACTAGTTGAGAGGCAGGTCCTATTTATCCCGGGAGGATGCATAATGGGTCTACTGAGGCGTAAGTAGCAGTGAAGCAACCCACCCTCCTCATCCTTACAGATACAGACAGATGAGTACAAATTAAAATAAATTATTATAAATTAAAATAAATTAAAATAAAAAAATATTAGACTTAGTAGCTTTGATGACAGTGGCTTTTCTTCACCGAATATTAGAAATCTCATTCCACCCAGGCTTTCACATTGGTACAGGACGTGGAATGATGTTTCTTCTTCTTCTTCACAGAACCTGCACAAAGTTTTTTCTTCTGCTGGATTGATGACACTTATGTGCCTTTTAAGGTGACAGTGTCCGGTAAGAAGACCTACTGTTATCCTAACGATTTGACGCTTTTTATCCAGTAAGTCTTTTGTGAACTTGGCCAATGGTTCCTTGATGAACTGTTTGGCATGTATCAGTCTTGGATAGTTCTTCCACCATTCCTGATACTCTTTTTGCATCCATTGTTTGATGGATGTCTTGCACAAAGCCTTGCAACTACACAGAAGGGTTTGGGGCCTGTCATGGCCTTATATAAGCCTTCTCGGGCTAATTCGTCGGCCTTTTCATTACTCTGATATCCCTTATGGCCTGACATTCAAGCTAGGGTCACCTTGTTTTGGCTACTTAGCTCTGCCAAGTCATCTAGACAGTCTTTCACCAGTCGTGATTTGATTTCTGGTAAGAGAATTGCCTTTAGAGCTGCTTGGCTATCAGAGTATATGGCAATAGTTTTGCCTGATACTTACTTGTTTAGTATTTCTCTTGCACAATGTTGTATGGCTATTAGTTTAGCCTGGAACAATGTTGCATCGGATACCCTTATTTTAGTCCTTTTTAAGACTCTGATAAGCGAACGGTTGGATAAATTAGGGCGCATTTATTTGTATTATTTTTTTGGTTACTATTTTAAACTTAAATATTTGTAATTTAACTGTCGGGTTGCTTGTTTTAGGCGAGTCCCACATTTTGTAAAATACCTACCTATCTACCTGCCGAAATAATACTCAATAAATACTGTAACGCGATACTTGATATGTTATCTATTTGTTATAATGTGTTTAAGCTCAATTGATTTTGGGCGTGGGTTAGGTTATTAAATAACTCGAATAACTTTGAAAAAGAAGTTGGGCACCACTATATTTAAAACTTACCAAGTATACTTGACTTTAGATTAGTGATAAAAATATAGAAAATCAGTAACCAATAACAAATTATATTTAAACCAACTTTTAGATAAGGTAGTAGCAAATTCTAATTCACATAGTTTTACTAAATTCAAATTCAAGATGATTTATTTAAAAGCACTTATCTGTTCTTAAAACGAAGTAATATAAGGAATGTTTATTTGCAAGGTATTCTTCAGGCAACTTCAAAGGGATTCGGTATCCTTATTCTTAATTCTGGAACTTGAATGATATTGTGAAATTTGATATTCTAACTTAAACTTGAACGTGTAAATCTTCTATAGATGAACCAAACCACGGTCTTCAGATTGTACCAAACTTCTAGGTATAAAAACCATAAAACTTCTTGATAGGAATTCAAAACGTCTAGATATAAATCCACATAAACTGTCTAGATATAAAACGAAATAAACCGTCTAGATAGAGCCATGCTAAAAATAAAGGCGAATGTTATAACAGGAAATAGGAAATTTGAACAGGATTTAGATAAAATACTTTAATTATTAAATGAACAATTTAAAACTATTAAATGAATAATTTCACATAGACTAAAATTAATATGAAAAGGAAAAATATTATTTGATACATTTAAACATAGTAAAGCATAATATCTTATTCCAAAAAAAATATATATAAATTTATATAAAACGTGTTATCCATTGTTGAGGTTACGTTCAAAATTTGACATTTTATTTAAGAAATTCTTGTACAAAATATATATTTTCAACAATATATCAGTATTAAAACTTACCTTATAAAATCAGACGGAATTTATGATAGATAAAAATTATTTAGTAAATCGGATGACCAAGATATATTAAAAAAATTCAAATCAACTTATTTCGTTGACAAATTCAAATCAAATGAAATACGAAATTTTGACACAAGGCATAAATGACATTTGAGTAGAGGTGATTGTGTTGAAATAACGAATAACGGTTCCAACCGTTACAATACATATTCAAAAAAATATATTTTTAAATGATGATTTTATGTACCCCTTAAATAATAATATAGGCACCCACACCTAAAATTTCTTGATCTGACATATTTATTACTCCGAGGCGATTTCGATTCGACTATAAATGAAAATTCATGCATTTTCTCTCAGTCCGTATATTAAAAGATCTTGTTATATCATGTAATTATTAATTAATACCTTCATAGTTTTTCATCATAATTCAATTAAAAAACTTTTTCAAATTTTAATTAATTTTAGCCAAAAATAAATATTATTTTAATATATATTTTATTTTCGAAAATAATTTATGTTTTATAAATTACCAATTTTAACGATATGCTTTATTATACAAAGTGTTTATGTTCTATAGGAATCCGTTATAAAAGAAAGGCGTGTCCCACTCAAAATAAAAAAGTTGACACCTACTTTCGGTAAAAGCGAAAATGACAGAACTATCAAAATATTTTACATGTTTACTACTCTTACTAATTTTTAAGAAAATCAGTCCA